GTCCTGTGACTAGAGTAATGTGTCTATCTACAGGCAAGGAAAGCCCGAGGCTGCCAGAAACTAGGAATGGGGTAGTTTCTTCTCTAGAACCTTCAGCGGGTGTGTGACCCTGTTCATGACTTGACTTCAGACCTCTGGCCTCCAGAAGGGTGAACCAAAATATTTCTGCTGTTTTAAGCCATTCGTTTACGGAGTCCCAGGAAGTGAGTAAACTTTTCATGTCAAATCTATGAGCGAGGCTGTTCACAGCTGAAGAAACTGCTTCAGAGGTTAACTAACCTGCCCAAAGTTACATGGCTACATAGAATCAGGATTTACACCCCAGCACACTGGTTTCTGAAAATAGCTATTTAATCATTATGCATATTGTCTTGTAATATTTTTAACAGCATCGCTCCCAGTGACAAAATCTTGAGGGGCGTGTGAATAAATTGTAATATGTAAATGGCTAAGTAAAGTATTGCCTACCCACCTTATGCACTATCATGCAACTTACTGCTGAATAATAAAACAAGATGCGGAGATGGTTGTATAACATGAACCCATACTTGGATATTAAAGAAAATCCTACGTAGCTTCTATAAGATTACAAGCATTAAAATATATGCATATACATGCCTATACATACTTATGAGCACAGATTCAAACATGAAGCTTTTGTAATAGTTGATCAATACAGTTGCCCTCTGTATCTGCGGGTTTTGAAATGACAGATTCAACCAACTGCTGATCGAAAATACATACTGTATCATTAGGCCTGTGAGGGTTGTATCTGTGAACACGCACAGGCTTTTTTCTTATCATTACTCCCTAAACACAGTATAACAACTATTTACATAGAATTTACATTGTAATAGGTTATTATAATCTGGAGGTAATTTACAGTACATGGGAGGATGAGTATAGGTTATACACAAATATACCATTTTATACAAGGGACTTGGGGACCACAGATTTTGGTATCTATGGACATCCTGGAACCAATGACCCATGTCTACTGAGGGGCAACTCTATTGGTCATCTGTTGGGGATAAATAGTAGAGCAGTAAATTCAGTAAAAAATAAATGTATTAGTTCTTTCTGGGTAATAAGGCACCCAAAATTGAGTGGAATAAATCAACCATGACTGAGTTGTCTGGGGTGGATGCAGTGAATGGGAGAGCTTTTCTAATTGGGGATACTGTATTACTCAATACTGCTGGCCACAGTTGGCTTGGGTGACTAGGGTGGCTTCACTCACGTCTGACAGTTGAAAATCTGGTGAGCCTCGGGCATGCTTCAACTGGGATGATTCTGCTTCATCATTATTCTTATCATCTTATCACAACACATGTTTTTTTTTATACATTAGGATACAAGTTAAGATTTTTTACATAGCAGGAGCAGAAAGAATGGGTAAAGCACTTCTCAAGTCTCTGCTTGTGTCAGATTTGCTAATGTCCCATCAGTTAAAGAAATAGCAAAATGCAGTTTCGAGGCTTGGAGAAATGGACTCTACTCGTTGATAGGTGAAGTGGCAGTCACACTGACAGTGGGCATATTCCGGTGGCAGTGGCCAATGGAGGCCATTCGAACTTCTGGCTTCTGTCTGGGATGTAGGTGTCTGGAAAGAACAGAGCTCTTATTCCTATAACAAGAAAAAAGCTGGATAATCTACAAAACCATAAGCATTTTTTTAACCCACCAGAGATCATAGGGCAACCGACTAGTTTGCTATATGAAGCAAGTGCCTCAAAGGTGACAGGGAGGTATCACTAGGTCACCTCTGGCAGAGCAGGAAGATGGGCTCACCATACCAGCAGTGAGAATTCAGCAAGAATTTTTAACAACTTTCTAAAGTTGAGTATGTGATGTTGTGAGACTAAAGAGCCCCCACGAGATAGAGGCCTGAAGGGTAGGTAGTTGGCTCCCACTTGCAAGCTCTTCTCTAAATACATTGGGAGCCTGGCTGCTCACAAGAAACACTGGGAGAAAGGTAGGAAACAGGAGAAAGCCTCTCTTAGCGGTGTAGGTCTGAAGTGGGCAGGTGCTAATACAGAACTGGCATAAAGCCCTAGTGCGCCCTACCCCCTCACAGAACAAAAGCCTGAGACCACAGGGGAAATGTGGCAGATGCAGTTGAGCTCCCACTTTTAACACCCTCCCCCCCCCAAAAAAAAAAAAAAACCACAGGTGAAGATTTACTGCTGCTAGAGGAAGGGAAAAGGAAAAAAAAATACTATTCATGGGGGAGGACAGGAAGCTGTCATGGACCTAGACCGTTAAAAGCCTTCTGCCAGTGTGGGAGAGACAAGGCCACCGTAAAAGCCTCACTCTCAACATCCAGGGATACAGGATCTACCTAGCACCTAGGCTAGCCACAAGAACGCCTGCCTCCACTCATCAGGTCACCAAGTCCCACTCACAGAAGTCTACTACTACAGAGAGAGCTACTCCCAGGGGTGCAGGCACCCAAGAAAGAAAGGGTGATGATATATAGAACATGGAGACAAATTCTTTGCAAACCAGAACAAATACGAGTGGAATTTGAAGTGTAGGGGACATGTAAGGTAACCATAGCAACAACAAAGCCCAAACTCTCTCCAAATTATGACTTGATAGTCTAACCCCCACACATCAAAGATCTATTAGATCAACCACATCTAGCTCCACAGATGAATGTTATTTACCTCAGTTTCTCCTGTCCTACATCTGATATTCTGCCAAAAATTAGATGTAAACAGCAGAGAAAACAATCCATTGTTAAGAGACAATGCAATCAACAGACCCAGATTCAGCTGACCAGGTGTTATAACTCTCAGGCAGGGAACTTTAAATAACACTGATTCACACATCAAAGGGTGCAGTGGTAAATGTGAACAGGCTTGAACAGATGGAGGGAATTTCAGGAGAAAACTGGAAACTGGAAGGGTCATGTGTAAATACCAAAAATAAAAAGCAACTGAGGTGAAAATGCCTTCAGTGGGTTCTAGGCAGACCTGATGGCCAGGGTGGGGGTAAAGATCAGTGAACTTGGGTTGGGTTTGAGACACAAATAGAAACAAAGATTGAAAAGAGATGGGAGACATCCCATCTCTATGCAATATAATCTATCTTCTGATCATTAATTTATATAACCACATTATGCAAATATGCTCACCCCCATTGAAAGACCTACAAATATCTCATCCGAAATTATGGCAATAAGTTCAAATCCAGAACCTAAATCTTCTGAGTCAGGTGCATACATAGCTGATGTTCTTTGGGTACAGTTTCAGAGTTTCTTGATCCAGAGAACTGTGAGCTAAATGACCAAGTTACATGACACCCTCACCACACAACACACACACACACACACACACACACACACACACAGGGGAGAGAGGGACAGGATAACTGTGATGGATACTCCCATTTGAATAACAGGGACACATAATGCAAACATAAGTCACTGAGTCACTGTTCCACAACAATTTTGAAATCCCATAGAACAAATGCTGCCAGGTCTCCCTGTTTCTTAGTAGGTCACAGTTCTACCTAGGAATGGCTCCAGAGTCCATTTTAATCACCAATAGTTCTTGGTCCTCTTTCTGAGACGTCCTTCTTTTCCCATAAGAAAATGGCCAATGTTTGCAGCTGAGAAACTTTCTCAACTTGCTTTCTGTTCACAGAAGTTAGAGGAGAGTCCAGAGGCCATTTTTCATTTTTAATTATTTCAGCCCCATTAAGTCCAATGTGCAGGTCATTTCTTTCACTAGTAAAAGCTGTTAGGAACTTTGTAAGTTTTATATGAATCTGGTTGTATCTACTCCATGCCACAAATGTTATATTGACAATTCTTTATAAGACAGGTTACTCTCTACTTTGAGCTGTGTCAGGCTACTGGGATAATGTCAACAAGTTTTTAGAAGCCACTTAGCTTCTCCCAAGCACCAACTTAATTATTTCAGGCATTTTAACAATTTGATTTAAACTTTCTGCAGAGGCCATTTTTCACCTTGAAAATATTTCTGATTGCTGGAAAGACTGGAAATGTGAAACACTTATTTTCTACCCTATCAAGTCCTGGCATTTTTGTTCTTCTTCTGAATTCAGCTTGTAAATGGAAGTGACGATTTTCGTTCATAATGCATTTTCTGTACCTTATCACATGCATCTAAAAGAAGCAAACTGACATGTCTAACATTCTTCTTGAGTTCCCTTAACCCATAAGCTCATGTAGTACATTATTTCCCCACAGAATATGGTGACTGTCTTGCTATTTCTTCCTCACAAAATAACCTGAGTTGCCATCTTTTCCAGCTGTTCTTAAGAGTAATCCTTAGTGTTTTGCCAGTCTCTACCTACTGTCCAGGCCCAATGCTAATGCCACCACTTGTGTTTTGCTATAACATCCTCCCACATGCATACATTTTAAGGTATTACTCAGCAAATTTGGTAGCTTAAAATAGTAATCACTTTATTTATCTCACAGTTGTCCAGGTTGGCTGGATAATGGATGTGTTTCTTCCGGTCTGCTGGGCGTCAAGGAAGGCCTCATTCCTATGTGCAATTGGTCTCAAGAGCCTTAGCCAGGTTGCCTCATCTCTGATCCATATGGTTTTCCATCCCGTAGTTGGGAATCTGAGTTTCTTTACATCAAGGGCTGATAATTCCAAAGAACAGAAGGAGCGGGTAAACTTCAAGGCAAGCTTTGCCTCAAGGCACACTTCTCCTTTGGGATTTCTTTGCTAAGGTACATTGGCCAAACTCAGAGTCAAAGAGGACAAAAAGACTACCTCTTAGCAAAAGAAACAAGAAGTATCATTACAAGGGGGCGTGATCATAAAACAACAGTAGGAATCGGTGGCTATTTTGCATTTTACCACGAGGTAAGAAGATAAATATATGTCGTGGAAACCACTATGACTAATAGGATTATATTTATGTGCTCATGTGAAATAATATCAGCAGGTGTATATATATATAAAACCATAATGATTTTAAAATTGTGAAGTTGCGTGAGAAGAGTATTCCGCAGGGAAATTTGATACAGGATTATACCAAATTCAAAAAAGTTCAATCCACTTATTCCTGTTACTGTGCAGTCTGTTCTGCCCCAAACACCCTTACAGAACTGAGAGCAGGTCTACATTTTGTCATCACTTGAAATTGCTTAATAGAATACATGAAACTGGACCATCATTTACATAATTTTGCACCCTTGGTGACAAATTGCCTTAAAGTACTTTCTAAAGGAAGGCTTTTCCTAATGCATCAAGTTGACAGCACATTCCCCAATATGAATTCTATTATATTTTATGAGGCCAAGCAAATATGGGAATACCCTCTCATGCAGTACATTCTTAGAGGGTCTCTTCTGAATATTTTTCTCATCTCAAGTGAGGTAGCCTAACAGATCCTTCCTCATAAACAATGTATTCATAGAAAATCCACCTTGGATGACTTTTATAATATACACTTAGACCTGACTTCTGTGATAAGGCTTTCGTTCAAGAAACAGGTATGCTTCTTTCATGTATGAATATTGCGATGCATACTAAGAACTGATTTCTGAGTGAAGCCCTTTCCACAGTCGCTGCATTTATAAGGTTTGTCTCCAGTGTGAATCGTCTGGTGTTTATTGAAATTTGACCTGTCAGTGAAGGCTTTCCCACATTCTGCACATATATATGGTTTTTCTCCTGTGTGAATTCGCTGATGTACTTTGAGATGTGGCTTCTTGGAAAAGGATTTCTCACAGTCAGGACATTTATAAGGCTTCTCTGTAGTATGAATTCTCTGATGTGTAATTAACTCTGACTTCTGGATGAAGGCCCTTCCACAATCAGCACAGACATAGGGCTTCTCTCCAGTATGAATTGTCTGGTGTTTATTGAAATTTGACCTGTCAGTAAAGGCCTTCCCACATTCAGCACATATATAAGACTTCTCTCCAGTATGGGATTTCTGGTGAGTGTTGAGATTTGACCTGTTGGTGAAGGCCTTTCCACATTCAGTGCATATGTAGGGTTTCTCTCCCGTGTGAATTCGCTTATGCATCTGCAGTTGTGACTTAGAGGGGAAAGACTTCCCACAGTCACTGCACTCATAAGGTTTCTCTCCAGTATGAATCCTTTGATGTGCAATCAGGTGTGCCTTCTGTATGAAGGCCTGCCCACATTCAGTACATATATAGGATCTCTCTCCTGTATGAATTCTCTGATGCATCCTGAGTGTTGATTTTTGGGTAAAGGCTTTTCCACACTCATTGCACTTGTGGTGTCTCTCTCCAGTATGGATTTTCTGATGTATATTGAGGGCTGAATTCAGGGAGAAGCCTTTCCCACATTCATTGCATTCATAGAGTTTTTCGCTTGTATGAATTGTCTGATGCCTAAGCAGAGATGCCACTTGGAAAAATGATTTGCCACATTCACTGCATTTATAGGGTTTTTCTCTAGTATGGATTTTCTCATGCAAAATTAGTTCTGAATTCTGGATGAATGCCTTTCCACATTCCGTACATACATATAATTTTTCATCTCTGTGAACTCTTAGATATATACTGAGTAGTGGCTTCTGTGTAAAAACATTTACACATTTGCTAAGTTCATGAGGTTTTTCCATAGGATGAGTTCTCTGAGGTGCAAAGAGGTGTGACTTCTGGGTAAAGATTTTCCCAAATTCAGTACATGTATTTGCTTTCTCCTCAACTGGAAATTTCAGATTATGAGTGAGTGCCTGTTTGAGGCTGAGAACTTTTCCACACTGGTTATCTTCACAGAATTTGACTCCTGTGTGTGTATTTTCATGGTTACTATAAGAAGAGCTCTGGGTGAAAACCTGTCCTTGCCCAATTATTTTATCAAAGTTCTCTGTTGCACTGTTTTTACTATGAATATGTAAGTCTAAATTAAAACTCTTTCCAAAAGAGCTATGTTTCTGGAGTCTTTTCTGTGAAGGAATGGGATTTGAGCTTGGATGAACAAATTTTCCACTGTCTTCATATTCATAATCCCACTCTGTATTCAATATTTTCTTATTAATAAAAGCAGTATGACTCAGATGTCTGTTCTGTTTTTCCTGGTATTTTCTCATCTGTGTAGCATCCTGCCACAGTTCTTCCAAAATAGAATACAAGGAGTCATCTCTCTTATTTTCATCCTCCATTTCACTAGGAAATGTAGTTATCCCAGAACTTCTTCTAGGTGACGTTTTAATCCCAAGCTTCCCATCTAAAAAGAGAAAGAAAAAGTAAAAGTGACCCAAAGCGTAGATAGAAAATTATAAGGTACACATAAGCTATTCCAAACGGAAGACAGGGTAATCAATAGACCTGATAATAATGATGATAGGAAATACAGTATAAATAGCACTTACGATGTGCCAATCTCTGGTGTGACAATATGATGTTCCAGGCACTGTTTTAAGAAATATACATATATGAACTTAATCCTTTCAAAAGCCCAATCTTTTACTATTATCCATATATTGTAGATAAGAAAAGAGAAGTTCAGAATGGTTATATAATTTGCCCTAAAACATGGTTATTAAGTGCTTGAGAAGGGAGTTCAGTACAGTCTATCTCCAGTTTAATCAGAGGCTTGGCGATTAAGTGAGGTGTACCAAAGACTGAAAACACAGGGGTTTTTTGTTTTGATTTGTTTTTTGTTTTTGTTTTTTAAAGATTTATTTATTTATTTATACATACAGAACTGGGATACAGGCCAGAGGTGTGGTGGGTGAAAGGATTCACCACAGACAGAATGGGACGCAGAACAGGCAGACTGACTGAAATACACTGCTGAGGGGAGCCGTGGGCGGGTCAGAAGATGTCTGCCGTGCCATGTGGGTCAGCTCCCTGGCTGGGGATCAAACTTGTGCTGCAGTAGCTTCGGAGAACTTCATAATGCAGCACTTTAACCCATTGTGGCACCAGGGAGAGCCCCTGAAAACACAAAGGTTTTAAGGGAAACATCCATGGAGAATATAAAATAGGAGAGAGGACAAGCCACCTGTGGTAGACTGAAAGCTGTGCACTACAATGTGTCACCATTGTGCATTAATACAGTAGTAGTCAGGCCTATGTCTACACAGTCATGTTTTATCCTCCTTAGAAGACAGGTGTGGCCATATGATGGCTCTTGTCGACAGAATGTGATAAAAAATGATGCGTGTAATCCGGAGCACTGAGACAGTGGAAATGTTTTCTCCATAACTTCTTCTGTCTTTAAAAGGGTAGGTAGAACCCTTTTAAGCCTAGATTTGGCAGCAATTCACATGTAAACATGCAGATGCCACCCCCGACACACACACACACATACAAGCCTAACAGGTAGCAGAGTAATGTACTGGAAGGAAATAAATTCCTGAATAAATATGAATAGCAAGGCTTTCCAATGGTCTGTGATATCAGAAACTATATAAGAGGGCTATAAAATTCTTTAGTATTAAAGTCACTGTATCTTATATTTATATATACTAATATTATTGCACATTGGCTTTAACATAGTTAAACACATTAATCTTGTCCAAGATGAGAATCATGATGGCTCCATTACTGGTCCAATGCATAAGATATGATAGTCTTGATAAACAATTTTGAAATGGAAAAAAAAATAGACAATCTCTTCAGCGAGAGATTTTTGTAGACTGAGAATGTTCATTCTGAGCACCAATCCAGTTGTCTGTTAGCTTCATAATGTATTCCAGACACATGCCCCATCCAAAATCTCACCCTGTTTTATTCTTAAGTAGTATTTTTATTCTTACACATTTGGCTTTCATTTTTCCTGGAGATATTGAACACTGGGTTCCTAGGTATGCTTTTAGGAGTGGTCCCACTTGGTTCATTTTATTTCGCTCATATAACTTATGAAACTTATAAAGCATATCTAGCTCACTCATATAAATATTCATGGTAAAAAACCTGCTCCTATAGCTGAAAGAAATAACCTAATGTCCCACCTTAAAGAATTGGGAAAA